TCTCTCTGAAGCCAACGTGAGTAGTATTTTATTTGGGGATACTATGGTACCCAATATAGAGTAAGATGATATCCTCCTTTTGGGTATAGCATTTTATACAAGGAATATAATCTTACTAGGTTCAACCACCAAAAACATTACTCACGTACTGTAACTGCCTTAGATGCTGAACCCCTTTCAAGGACCGCGGCTTCTGCTGCTTTCCTCCTGGGAACTCAACGCCTGACTGCTGCAGCTGGTGGGAAGCCCAAAGGCATCAGACACCGAGTTGTTCAGATTTTCGGTGGGTTTAGGGTTTGGGTTTAGGGTTTAGGGTTTAGGGCTTAGGATATGGAATTCTGAAGCTTTGCAGGCTTTACGGCTTACAGGTTTACATTGAGCAGCTATTGATATGGTATAGTAAGGATTCAGGTAGGGTGGAGGGTTCCCTACACCTTAGACCCTAAACCCCAAAGCCCCCTAAACCCTAAAGCACTAAACCCTAAAGCCATAAACCCTAAAAGCCCTAAACCCTAAACCCTCAAAGCCTTAAACCCCAAAGCCCTTTCTAAATCCTACATAAACCCTAAACTGTGCAGGGCTTAGCAGTTAAGAAAAAGGATTTTGATCCTGATTAGCGAGCTTGGCATCATGCTGCCTTCAGGGCTTTACAGGGCGGGTATATAGGTTGGATAGGGTTTAGGGTTTAGGGTTTAGGGTTTAGAGTTTAGGGTTTAGAGTTTAGGGTTTAGGGTTTAGAGTTTAGTGTTTAGGGTTGAGAGTTTAGGTTATATAGGGTTATACAATAAGGGTATATAGGGGTATAGAGGGTTTAGGATTTAGAGTGTAGGCTAGGTAGGGTTATGTATAGAAGTATACAAGGTTTAGGGTCTAGAGTTTGGGTTACATATAACCCCCGGACATCGTACCCCTAAATGTTTTCGCAAATGGGGCCGAAATATAACCTTTATATGAGCCAATGTAGTCCTCTATATAGTGTCCCTTAAAAAGGATCCCAAAAACCAGGGTACAACCCTTAGGGTGTAGGGTTCAGGGCCATTAGGGTATTTAGGGTTATATAGGGTTTCTTTGGATTGGTATAGGGGTAGTAAAGGATTGGTATAGGGTTTCTTAGGGTTGGTATGGGGTTATATAAGGATATTTGGTCAGGGTCCAAGTCCAAAAGAAGTAGTGGTGTTTGTAGTCCAAAACAACGATCATTTGAGTGGTTTCTTATACCTACAGCCCTATCATTCGGGCTCTTCGGCCTTTAGGCTCGTCCAAAAACCCATTGAAACGTGGAATTCGGAACACTCCTACCTATTCTGAAGACATCGCCGGGCACTACCCAAACCGCAAACCATTTCCTCTCACGGTTCCGGGTTGGCGCCACTCAATTCATCCCGCAACATCATCCGCAGGTGGGCCCCGTAGAGGCTTCCCAGCACCAGTGCTTTCGTAAGGCTTTCAAGCCCTAAGGTTCCAAGGACTCAAACAATGGGGGATTAGATCCCAAACACCATTCAGGTAGGTACCTAAGGGTTAACCCTTAGTGCGGGTCCTAATTAAGTGCCACGTAAGTAGGTATGTGGGAACCCCTTTAGGCCTTTAGTATATAAAACCCTAAACCCCTAAACCCTAAACCCCTAAACCCTAAACCCTAAACCCACCTACATGGACCCTTTGAGTAGGCAGACTGCTGAGCTGCAGCTTGCTGAAGTTTACAGACTACGCCTACCGATGCGAGAGCCTCTTCCGTAACATAGTACGTATGGTTTTTCTTCAGCGCATCCTAACAACAATAGCAGTAATGGTAATAGTAGCCATAAGGGTAATAGTAGTAGTAATAGTAATAATGAGAAGACTAATAGGAATTAATTGGACAGTAATAGTCATAATCTGCGGTTCCGAAGAATATTGGTCAGTGTATGTATGGAGCGTTTGATGGCAGCATTTCCAAGATCAAGTGCCCATGGCTCTTCTTTGGAGGGTATAGACTAACCCAGACCCTGGGAGGATCTAGAAAGTAGATCCCCCTTAAGGGGTCCTAGGAATTACCCAATAGTAGTATAAAGTACCATATTGGGGGTTCTACTTTCTAGATCCTCCCGGGGGTCTGGGAAGGTCTCTTGGCAAGCCTACCATAGCAAGAACTGCGTTGGGACGTGTTATTTCTATTGAAGGTCGCGCCCTTTTGGTGTTGAACCCCCGTAACTCCACAGTCCAGCCACATCTACCTCATATGGGGTTTCCCAACATGATCAGAATGATTGCGAGATCCTATAAGAGTGGGGTTTATCTCTTTGGGAATTGCCAGCGATATCTTAGGTGTACCCCGCCCTGTAATAGTGTGTATACAGGTTATGTAGGGTAATAAGGCGATGAGGATTATGTGAGGGTGCTATTATATTCCTATTCTACCACTATTGCAGGGTGGGGGGTCCTCCTAAAAGATAACCCATTTCTGGAGACATTTTCGAATCCGGCGCAGGCCCCACCGCAGTGGCCGCCAGCAGTCGTGATGCAGAAGCAGAGTCGGTTTCACCTTCAGATTTCTTCGAAGTCTGAACACATGGCCAAGGTTTTTCAGATGTGGATTCTGGGTTTAGGGCTGGGGTTTCAGGCCCCGTGCGTACTCAACTTTTGACGGTTCGTTCCATCTCCGTCCAAAAATTTTCTTGAGGTTTTCTGAAGAGGAGTGGTGCCATGTTGCGTTACCGGTGGTCATTTTGCGTTCTCGGTGGTGTGGTCTATGTAAGCAACAACAAATGCCAAGAATGGCAACGTCATGAGAAGGATGACCACCTGATGCCCACCCTATCAAGCAAGGATGGGAGTCATATCCGGGGTGCGTCTCACCAACCCTAAGGGTCCAAGGACCCAATTTTGGACCCTTAGGGTAATTTATCCTACGTCATTGAGCTGTCTCCCTGGCGCTGGGATCAATCAATGTCATATGTCCAGAAGACAAATCTTGGATAGAAACCTTGTCCTTGTGGTAGCTTCAAGAAGAACGACTGATACCCCCAAGCAACCCAGACCTGGGAGGATCTAAAAATTAGATCCCCCATATAGACTCATTATAACCCCTATAGAATCCTTATATAATTGCCCATATGGTTCTAGGGGATCTAATTTTTAGATCCCTTTGGGGTCTGGGAAGTGAGATTGCAACTCCTCCGGGCTCTGTACTTTAGAGCGGTGAGCTCTACTGTCGGGTATTGGCATCCCCTCAGGGATCCAAAGAGGCGTAGGGCTCCTGGTAGTGGGTACTTAAGCCTGAGTAGAGGGTAGTTGAAGTTGGTGAACTGCTCTACTTACCCGCACTTATCCCAAACCCTAGACCTAAACCTTAGACACTCTTTAGGGTCTAAGGTTTCGCGCAACCTCCCTCAGAACCTTGGTTTTCGTAGCCAAAGCTGAGGTCTGTAAATCTTGTGTCTGGCTATGTGCTTAAGCTCCCCAAGCTTAAGCTCAAAGCCCAAATTCCCCTAAGGGTCCATGTACCCAATAACTGGGTACTTAGGGTTTAGGTAATAGTAATTATGGTACAGCAGTGTTTGGGTAAGTATATGATTATTAGGTACGTGGACCCTTAGGGTTCTATAATCTGCAAATACTCATACAATGCCATTCGTCCCATTTTCCTGAAGGCGTCTGGGACCGAGACAACTCAACAAAAGCTCCTGATGGAGTTCACGTTGGAGAGTTTAGGGATTTAGGGCCGGGAATAGCACGGGCTTAGGACTTAGGTTCTGGAGTCTAGGGGTTTGGGTTTCATTGCTTAGGGGCTTGGCCGCGCAGTCTCCAATAGAAGATAGATAAACACATCAAGCACCCTAGAGTATCCGCCTGAATCAACCTGCACTGCATTTGGAAGTCTCCCCAATTTATGGGAAGTACAATTCCCCAATTCCCTTTGACTCTACTTGCGGGTACTCCTCGCACTAAACACAGCGGAGATGAAGGACCCTGTATCTCTGACGCCCAAACTCCACGCCCCAAACCCTGGGGCTTCGAAGAGAAGGGTTTAGGGTTTGGGTTTCAGGTTTAGTGCTTGTAGGGTTGGGGGGGAACCCTAAACCCTAAACCGGCCCTGAACCCATAAGGGGGATAGGATTAGTCGGTTGCAATTTTCCAGGACATGAGAGCGGTGTCTGGCATGAACCAGTGCTTTGCCTTGCGGTGTAACAGTCCGTGGGGTCAAAAAATCCGGCAGCTACCCCTCAAACCCTAAACCTCCAAACCCAAAACCCCTAAACCCAAAACCATCCCTGAACCCAGCACCCTGGACCAAGGCCTCTGGGAGCAGCCACCTGAGGGTCCCAACCCCTTAGAGGGAGTATATCCAGGAGATTATTTAGGGGTGTACTATAGGAGTTAATGCAGACCCCTGAATAAACACCCTCCGATTTAGGGCCTAAATATGATGATCCTTACTCCAATCCCTATTAAGGGGAGGGGATTTATTAATCAGGGGTCTGGGTTAGTAAGAGTGTTTAGACTATGGCTCATTTGGGGTTGTAAGGCCCCTATTAGAGGCGCCACTCAGGCCGGCAGAAAGTAGACCCTGGAATGCCCAGACCTTAGGGGGTGTGGAGATAGGGTCTGTGGGGTATAGGGAGTAGTTAAGTTCCCTAAACCCTAAACCCCAAACCCTAAACTTAGGCATCCGGATTAGGGCTCAGGGTTCATAGCCCAGATGCTGTAGAGGATCCAAAAAATGAACCTCGCCTCCCAAAAGACCCAAAGGTTTAGGGTTTAGGGTTCCCTAAACCCTAAACCGCGTTCTACCCATGGCCCCTGAGGGATGCAAAACGTCGACCACACACAATGAGAGCAGCATTACATTGAGGATAGTTGGAGGAAACTATGTGAACCCTACCTGGGCCCAAAGTAAAAGAATGGCCTTTAGGGCTATTCTTATGGGTTTAGGGCTATTATTTTACATACTTTTGGGGTTTAGGTATGACCTAAACTACCGGAGCTAGGGTGATTCATGGTCTCTGAAAGAAGAGCAGGTTCTCCCCGCACGGACGCATCCGCATATGGTCCTGGCCTTTGTGTGCTTGAGGTTCCGGATTAAGGGTTCAGGGTTTAAACGGTTTTGTTTTTGGCGGTCGCTTTTTGCTTCCAGAGTTTTGTTCTACTACTACCCCAAATGTGGATTTAAGGTTTCACTCTCAAAGAAGCAGCCTGGTTTTTGTCTCCGAAAAAGGAAAACGCATTGTTTTGGCCACATGAGCCCTGAGGGAGATTAAGTTGATTAGATTTTGAATTTCAACTTACCCTAAAGCCTAAACCCCCAAACCCTAAACCCTACACCCCTAAATCCTAAACCCTAAACCCTAAACCCACTTCAACGTAGGTTGCATGGTCTCCATCTCTCAGGCCAATTCACTTGGGCTTAGGCTCGATGGACTCCACACGCTGTAATAGTGACTCTAAGGGATAATACGGTTATATTTAGGGTCCTATTCTAGTCCTACTATACCGCTGTTACAGGGTGGGGGGTCCTCCCAAGGTTTAGGTGTCATGTTTTGGGGGTTCGCGTTTCAAGCTGTACTGGAGGCTTACGGCGAAGTGTGGTGTGTTCCTTTTGTAATAAGATGAGAGTTCGTCGGAACTGAAACTCCAGAGACGTAAGCCCTGAGCCCTAAGCCCTACCTAAACCCCCAAAAGTATGTAAAATAATAGCCCTAAACCCATAATGCTAGCCATAAAGGCCATTATTTTATATACTTTTGGGGGCCCAGGTAATCCCTAGCATCTTAGGACACGAGTTCAGAAACTTCGATGTGGTACTGTAGTAGAGGATGGTGACCCTAGTTTTGCTGGCGTGGTTACCCTAAACCCTAACTTGCTGGTTCTTAGTAGGGAATAAAGTAAGCTAAGCCCCTCACAGGACGTTAAGAATCACTTCCTTATGCGAGCGGCGGGTTCTGCCTGGAGAAGGCCCTTTCAAAGAGTCGAGCTTTGGGGGGGAAGGGTTTTAAGTTTAGGGTTCGGATAATTTGGGTTTAGGGTTTAGGGTATGGTAAGGGGTTTCTCAGTTCTCTTCCCATGAGGCTCCATGCAGGTAGCCTTTTTCAGACTGTAGCGCACAGTGTAGGTAGCACTTATAGACTTAGCGTTTCAGATTTTGCTACCAAGAAGTTGAAAAACCGTTTGCATGAGACCCAGATCAGTTTTGACATAGTGTTCCAATTTTCGGAACACCCCAAACTTGGGTTTGGGGTGCAGGGTCACCTCAAAAGCGACTACTCTGCAAACCTAGACCCTCTAAAAAGGGAAAGATACCAAGACATAAGGTACAACTCCCCTCTTTACGGGTACAACTCTTATTCTAGTTCCCGTATAAATCATGCCTCCATTGGGGCCCAAAGGCCCATAGACATTACCAACACGGTGCCACTTGGAGCCTTATGGCAATCCCGATAACGGCTCCGGCCCCGCAGATAGATTTCGTTGGTGGAACCCTAAACCCTAAACCCTACCTGGGCCCCAAAAAGTATGTAAAATAATGGCCTTTATGGCTATTATTATTTTGGCTATGATTCTACATACTTTTGGGGTCTAGGTAAACTCATTTGGAAATTTCCCAAGGACCCGGGCGGTGCACATAGATTTTTTCGCGCAGTGCAGATGGACGTTTTTCTTTGAACCAACTTTTTTACGCCGTGCAAATTGGTTTTTTGTCTCGACCAAGTGCAGATAGGAATAAAAGATCATGAAAATTGCAGACAACAAACGAATTGTCACAAACGATGAAAGCATTCTATCTGCACGATCCAAAAATTCTATCTGCGGGTCCGAGAAGGGTTTAAATGCTCCAAGGCCCTCGGGCCCCAAGCCTAGAAGACGCTGTGTGTTTAGGGCTATGGGTTTTGGGGTTTTGGGGTGTAGGGTTTAGGGCTTAGGGGTTTTGGGGTGTAGGGTTTAGGGTTTAGAGTTTGGGGTTCGGGTATAGGGTATAGGGATTAGGGTTTAGGGTTTGGGGTATAGGTTTTAGGCTTGATAGACTTTGGGGTCACTACGGTGGATGGGACCCGAGTCACCATAATGGAATGCCTCCGCAGAGGCCCCCATGGAAGCCCGTAACCCCTATTGCTCCGTGGACTTCTTAAGTCCGAGGGTCCATGTACCCAATAGTTAGGTGCTTGAGATTTTGGGGAATAGTAATCATGGTACAGGTTTTGGGTAAGTATATGATAATTAGGTACTTGGGCCCCTAGGGTAAGCCAACAGAATTTCCAAGTATTGGTATATAATGGGATTTCTTGGCGGAGCAAGATTGCCTAAACTTGTATTACTATCTGGAGCTTGGCATGGCTGTATTGATGTAGGTTCCAGACACCTGTAATTATATGTGGGTAAACAAATGCTGATTCGGCGCTTCACCCTTAACCCTGAAGCCTACCATAATCCTGAAATTTCAGGTGGGGAGATATTACTTGAGTACCCTTACATCAGGCTTATAGAATGTTTACATGAAGCCCATGTGGTGCAAAGCGTACAGGGAGCAAATGCCCGGTCGGAACCCTAAACCCTAAGCCCTATACCCTAAATCTAAACCCTATACCCTAAATCATCCTAAATCCAAACCCTCTACCCTAAATCCAAACCCTAAAGCTTAAATCTAAACCCCAAATCTAAATTCCTTGCTTTGTTGGGGACTGCTTTGTGCCTGGCTGGGCTTTTGGGAGCTAAGGTTCGGGATCACAATACTTCGAAGGTCCCCGTAGTCTACGGTTAGAAGAATGGGCCCCTAATATGGGCCCTTAGGCCCTTGTAGGGGGATTCTGGGTACCCTTAAAGGTACATATTGGGTATACGATTTCGCTTTAGAGTTTACGGTTTTAGGGCAGGGTCCCCAGAAGGTCCCCGTAGCCAACAATTACGCACTTGGGTTTGAGGTATCTGAACCGGGTTTTGGACCAGAATCATTGTATCTGCTTTAAGGGATTAGGTAATAGTAATTATGATGCAGGTTTTGGGCCCGTATATGCTTATCAGATACTTGGACCCTTTCAGTGTAACTTTCTTAGTCACTTCAGTTATCCGCAGAAGGATCATGGTTGCTAGTTTCTAGACCTGGGGTCGTGCACGTACAAGGGGGTGATAAATAGCACGCCCCTCCAAGAAACTTATCTTCGAGTGACCCTTTGTGTTTCATCTTCCTAAACCCTAAACCCTAAACCCTGCTTTCCAGCCTGTGTCCTGTTCTTGCTCATGAGGGTTTAGGGTCCAGGGTACAGCGCCCACCAAGTCAACAATCAAATCCCCAAACCGTCTGAGAGCTCCGATATGTGCAGGTGACAGCTTCCTTGACCCATACTAACCCAAAGGGTCCATGTAGGTATATGGTATATACTTAGGGCCCAAAGGGGTTCCCATATACCTACTTTAAGGCCCAAGTATTTCCCATATACCTACATAGACCCTTTGGGTAAAGTATGCAGAAATACGCAGAGTAATGGCCCCTTCGGCTGCTTTTTAGGGTGGTGGGCCATTGTTTTACCGGGTTTATGTAGATCCTGTCTCTAAAGAAGGACTGCGTGAACTGCACAACTAGCTAGTTTCCGAGCCATAACGGCTGAACATGAATACAAGCTGCTCTTTATTCTCCGCACCCTTCTTTCCAACGTAGCACCTAGAACCCGAAACCCTGAGCCATCCCGAAGAGCTCCTCCTGGCGGTATTCCAAGCATAGGTCTTTGCAATGTTTAGGATTTAGGGTTTACGGTGCCTTAAATTGGGGCAATTCATAAACAGAGAAGCGGAGGAAACTTAAACTCTAAGGCTTCAGCTAATAGCTCATCCCAAATCCTAGGCCCTGCACCTACTTAATACCCCTACACCAACTCGCTACAGTGCCTTGTAAAAGGGGCATAACAGGGTGGTGCGAGATTTCCTCCATCCACCATATACGGCCCCTAAACCAGACCCCTGATTAATAAACCCCTCCCCTTAATACCTAATATTAAGGCCCTTAAAAGGAGGAGGTTTATTAGTCATGGGTCTACAGTAAACATTCTAATTAGACCTACAACATGAGACTCAGCTAAGTTTACAGTCCCCCTTAAGTAGAATATGGCTTTGAGTATATTATAGTAAGATCCCGTATACCCCATATTCTATCTACTTAAGGGGGACTATTTTCGTTTGTTTTCTCACCCTTCAGCACCCTTAATCCCAACATCACCTTCAAAAAGCCATAAGTATGTAATTGTCATCTGAACCCTAAGCCCTATAAACCCAAAGCCCTAAACCCTAAATCTAAATCTAAATCCTAAGCCCCCCCAAACCTTTCCCAGTTCAGCTGAGGTCGCAGAGGCCCAGCTGTGCGAAGGCTTTATCCTCAGCGGCAGCAAGGCCCATCCCTGGGCTGTTATGGGTGATACGAATAGGGTTTGGGGTTTTTAGGGTTTTAGGGTTTTGGGTTTAGGGTTTGACGCTGTTCAGAGTTTAGCGTTTAAAGTTTCAGGGTCCAAGTACCCAACAATTGGGTGCTTGGGTGTAGGGAATCGGTGTTCCAAAATGAGCCTCCACCTGTTGTTTTAGTGTTTAACTGTTTAGGTAGGTTCGGCTCCAGCCTCAGCTGGGATGAAGCTGGGAGGCTTCTCGAGGAGGCACGCTGCACAAAGTCAGTTTGCGCACGGCGGCTTGTGTCGCTAGGCGTTTGCGTGTTCAGTGGCGGCTAAGCACACGCTCGCAGTTTTGGAGGCGTAAAGCGACCAAGCGGAGACCCAGCAGTATATTCAGAACATCCGGGAGCTTCTGAGACTTCGCTTCAGCCTTAGCAACTCCACCTTTTTTTTTGGTAAATATATTATGCATATTGAGTACTTGGATCATGGCAGATGTGTAACCTGACGCTAAACCCTAAACCCTAAGCCCCCAAAATCTAAACCTATTTCCTCCATCGACTGCATCTTCCAAGCACGCTAGGACATCGGGGATCCCAGGTCATCCTGGGTTGCTGGGTTTAGGGTTTGCCATATTTTTGGTTATTCCATGAGTAATACCTAAACCCCCAAAAGTATGTAAAATAATGGTCCTAAACCCATAATAACAGCCACCAGTCCTAGATCCCAATCCAAAGGTCTGAGTCTCTGAACCCTAAACCCTAAACCTGAAACCCTAAACCTTCGAAGCCCCCTGAATCTTCACCCAACCTCAAGACCCTCCCCCAAACCGACATGGAAACCCGTATGTACTAGAGTCGATGCTAGGAGTTTAGACGATAACTTATATAGGAAGTTTCGAGCTTCCATGCTAGTTTTTGAACCCTAAACCCTAAACCCTAAACCCTAAATCCTAACCCTAAACCCTAAACCCTAAACCCTAAATCCTAAACCCTAAACCCTAAACCCTAAAACCTATACCTCAATCCCGACAGGATCATCCCTCCCACCCCTCACACCAATCCCTTGCGACCTTAAGCCCCTGATGCATCTTAGGGTTTAGGGTTTAGGGTTTAGGGATCCGGAAAATCCCGAAACCCTCCCAAAACCCAAAACCTTGAACACTGAACCCTCAACCCTAAGCCCAAGACCCCAAACGGAAACCCAAAAGCCTTAACCCCGAATAGACCCCCAACCCAAGAGCCCAAACCCTAAACCCTAAACCCCGAAACCTAAACGCAAAACCCTAGACCCCCAACCCAAGACCCCAAACCCTAAACCCTAAAACGCCCGCAGGTCGCGGAGGAGCCTTACTCAGATCCCTCTGCTTAGTGGGTGGCCTTCCTCGTCCATCAGCCCAAGGGGTCCATGTATTCAATAAGTAGGTTTAGGGTATGGGGTTTAGGGGTTCAGGGACTACAGGGTTTAGGGTTTAGGGACTGCAGGGTTTAGTACTTGAGGGTTCAGGGTTTAGGGTTTAGGGTTAAGCAACTGTAGTACAGGTTCGGGGGAAGTATACACATGGTTGTTAGGTACTTAGACCCCCCATAGGCCGTAGCCTTAAAAATGCTCCCCTCTTAGGGCCCCGGGAGAGTGGGTAGACGGACCACTGACGTCCCCTAGGGTTCCAGAAAAGGATCCCAAGAATTCAGCCTACACCCTATGGTTTAGGGTTTAGGGGTGTATAGTCCCCCTCAAGTAGATAAAATATGGGGTATTTGGGGATCTTACTATAACATACCCAAAGCCATAATATTCTATCTACTCAAGGGGGACTATAAACCTAAACCGCGTTACAACCTTAGGGTATGACCTGTCAACCCTTCATCCCAAGGGGCAGACATATCGAGGCTTAGGTTCTTAGGGTTTGGGGTTTCAGGGTTTGAGGGTTTTAGGGTCTAGGGTTTTAGGGTTTAGGGCTTAGGGGTGTCAGGATTTTAGGGTTTAGGGCTTAGGGGTTTCAGGGTTTGAGGGTTTTGGGGTTTGAGGGTTCCGGGTGTGACGCAGTGTACAAAGTAGCTTATAGCAGCGTTGTCCTGCGGCTCTGAGTCTGTAGATTTCCCATACTTTGGCTCTAAACCCCTAAAACCCCTAAATCCACCTATAATCATTGCCTACTTGGGACTCTTTGGAGCTCTAGGATTTAGAGCTGGGCAAGAGTCTTACACTCTAAGACTTTGCAGCCGAGATTGAGGGCTTGGGGTGAGTATAGATTTGCTAAGGTTTAGGACGTTGGGACAAGATGTTGGGATGTAAGGTGATAGTAACTTCGTGTTCGGGGGTTTAGGGTTTAGGGTTGTTCACAGGCTTTGGGGTTCTGGGCTTGGGGTTCAGGGGCATTTAGGGCTTAAGCGGATTGTGTTTTACCAAGTCTCAGGGGGCTTACGGCTTGGGCCGCCCATACTGCTAGCGTGGCCTTTCAGTCTACAACTTTGCCATGCGTTGGGCCCTACTGGAAGCTGTCTAGGGTTAATGAGAGTTCTGAGCTTAACGTTGCATTGGGCGAACGGGACGCTTCCAGAGTTTCAGGCTGCTTGGGGGGATACCCACGCAATTCGTAGTTCTGGCGTACGCACCAGGCCTTGACTTCAAAATCCCCGAGTTAAAGAGCTCCAGGGGGGTCAGATAAACAGTTCTTAGCTTGATATCGTAGGGTCATAGGGAACCGGAAGCCGATGTTGCGAGTACATTTTCGTGCCCTTTAGACAACTAAGTTCTGAACTTTGCTTGCCCATGTCTTCTTGTTGGGGGTCGGTTAGCACATCTGCTTATGGCTTTTATGACCCATCGCCTGAGCTGCTGCAAAAGGAAAAACATGGTGGCCTTGCAGAAGACACTCATTTTTCCATGCATCAGTAGGCCATTAGAGCATTCCATCCACCCCGTACAGTACCGCAGGTACTTATGGTACTTGTTGTGGTCACGCGTCAATTCGTTGCTCAGACCGATTAAGCTTCAACCGCAGGTGGGTAGCGTTCTAGTCTGGGTAGGCCCCTGGGATATTTAATATTTTCCCTAATTGCTTTAATAGGGGACCCTATATATTCATATTTTTCAAAGGATTTTAGGGGCCAACCCAGTAGTTTAGGGTTTAGTGTTTAGAGGTTTATAGGGTTTAGGGTTTAGGGAGGCCTTAACGGAGGGATTGTTGGTAACCACCAATTTGGGACCCTACCATTACGCAGTCATATGGCAGTTCTGGGACCTCGTTTCGGGGATTAGGGTTTACCCGAATCCTCGTATGGGTTTCTAGGGTACCCTCAACCTGAAACCTTTAAACCCAAAACCCTGATCCCAAACCATTAAGCGCAAAACCCTAAACCCAAAACCTCTAAACCCAAAACCCTAAACCCCAAACCGTTAAACTCAAAACCCTAAACCTCAAACCGTTTAATCCAAAACCCTAAACCCCAAACCGTTTAATCCAAAACCCTAAACCCTGAACATTTGGGTTCCCAGACCTTCTGGTTTTGTGAGCCTGTCAGAATCCCTAGTCGTGCTTCCTGAACTCCAGTCCTTGGCCTCTGGTTCAGGGGTTATAGCAGTTTAGGTTTTAGGGTTTAGGTTTTAGGGTTTAGGGTTTAGGGTTTAGGGTTTATGGGGTTTATGGGGTTTATGGGGTTTAGGGTTTAGGATTCAGGTTTGGGTTGCGGAACACGCGTCGCTTAGCAGTAGAAGATAACTTCCTAAACATTTGACCCAGTGCCCGAATTGCATAATAATGCTTCAGTAAGACTTTAAGAGCGGGGGAGTAGCTCCCCTAAACAAGTACCAATGTTCCTGCACCCACTCTCCTTAAGCACCATTAAGAGTACAGACACATATTTGCAGGCCTTTTTTGATTCAGATACTATCCCAATGTCCCCTATTTGAGCCCCAAAACTGACCCACAGGATCCAAGGACTCAAATACTATGGTGCTAGGGCTTTAATGCCATCATCTGAATGGGCAGTGGGGGACCCAAACCTTAAACCCTAAACCTTAAATGACCCTAAACCCTTAACCTAATAAGGTCCTCGGACCTTAAGACATACTAATTCAAGAAATCTGCCAAGCAGGATGACCCGACACATGCGGAGCAATCGCTGCTTCCTTAGCTTTCCTTCTAGTGTTTAGGGTTTTCGATTTTGGATTTTGGGTTTAGGGTCTAGCGTTTGAGGTCTAGGGTTTAGGGCTTAGGGCTTAGAGGGCTTAGGGGACCCCATAGTGAGGTGATGTGTACCAAGACTCTCGTAGGACCTTTCAGTCTTACATGTGGATGTAAAGCCCCTCATAATCGGTACTCAGGCCGTAGTAGATGGTAGTTGGAGGCTCTCAGAACAATACAGGGTTTAGGGTTAAGGTTTTCAGGATTGTGTTTTGGGGTCCGCTCCTCGAACAAGATGTTGTGAGGGCTGTTACTGCTGAGAGTCTATATAAATAATGGAATATTGACAAACCCGGGTTAGTGCAAGACACCTGACTAGTAGGGTTTAGGGTCTGGAGCGCGTGCCCGAAACCTGATAAGGTTTTTAGAATTGTGAAGAAGCGCGACTAATTTCATGCCGATTTCCTAGAATCTAGCCGCTGCCGGTATATGCTGAGCTTCTATCAGCTCGTATGTCCAAAACCCTAAACCTTAACACTACAGCATGTTATGGTACGTTTGCCAGATAGTCAGCGCTTAATTCCCGAACATGTAAGAGCAGTCGAAGCTCCAAGCAACACGATATACAAAGGCCATATATGCTGTTAGCGGCTGCGCACTCCTGACCCTAATTCCTAAGCATGGACATGATGTTTTTTGAGGGAGGGTGCTGGTGGCAAACTTGGCCGGTTAGCCACCTGCCCTTTGCTAAAAGCAGTTTCGGATCTTGCTTTGTTTGCAAGACGCCTTTCATAGGGTTCTCCTACGACCCCCTCTGTACCCACTACAAACCCTATAGTCCCAGTTTCCATTTCATTTTCCATGTTCTTTTCCATTTGATTCTCCATTATAACCCCAATATTACCCTAATATACCCCTATATGACCCTAAAATAACCCCAATGTAACCCACAAATACCCCCAGTGTTGTTTCAGCCCAGCATGCGTGCCATTTCCCAGGTCTAAGCGACCGCGGACGGCTTGAGATTTCCCAACGCAGCCACAGGCGGAAAAGTGCGCTGCCGCTTCGCTGTTTCTTGAGACTAGCACGGCATGTGATCGATTCTTTTCATGGGGTCTGTGAAAGGTCTACAAACTGCCAAACTGTTTGCTACTTTGCAGCTTCAGCTGTTGGAGTAGCGAGCTCCAGAAGAATGCTGAGCCGTAAAACGAAAACCCTGAACCCTAAAGCCCTAGAGGCATGCGGCCAAGTTGTTCGTATGACACGGGCTCTAAGCACACTTTGAGTTGTTTTTTGTTTGCAAATAGGGCCCACGCACACTCTTCCAAAGTAGCATGGAACCGTAAACAGGCCTTTTAGCGTGGGGCCATTTGGGCTGCCATGTTCGTTTGGGGCAGGGTAGATGACATGGATTTAAGGTTTAGGGTTTAGAGTTTAGGGTTTGTAGACTCCGTGCCCAAATCAACTTTTGAGCGGTTGCGAACATTTCGCATGACCAACGTTTCAGTCGGAAAAAACGCCTAGCTCAACGTGTTTTGTGTTCAACAACAGCGCCGAAACCCCGAGCCTCACAATCCTCACCCCTGGACTCTAAACTTCTATTTTCTTAGGCTTTTTGTTGTCTTGCAATATAACATCAAGTAATCATTAAGGGTAATTTTTACTTCTATTGTAGGTCTAAGGGGAGTGCAGTAAACTTCAGGCCTCTAACCATAAAGCTGATAAACCAGACCCCCTCAGCTCAAGCTTCAACGCTGTAGGACGCTTCAAACCCCTAAACCCAAAACCCAAAGGGTCCATGTAGGTATATGGTATATACTTAGGGCCCGAAGGGGTTCCCATGTACCTACTTTAAGGCCCAAGTATATCCCATATACCTACATAGACCCTTTGGGCTAAACCTCCTACTGAATTCGCAAGGCAGCGTCTATTTGAGCATGTGTGCGGTGTCCATTCATGCATAACTTGTGTGTCCCTTAACTATGGGTCAGGCAGCGGTAGCTGGATTGCGCCCTTTTTTTTTGCAAGACCCTAAACCCTGAACCCTAAACCCTACACCCTGAACCCTAAACCCTAAGCCCTAAAACCTAAGCCCTGAACCTTGGACCTTAAACCCTAAACCCTGAACCCTAAACCCTAAACCCTAAAACCTAAACCCCAAACCCTGGACCTTAAACCCTAAACCCTGAACCCTAAAACCTAAACCCTTAACCCACAT